TATTATAGCCATGCTACTGGGAGTGAAGTGGTATCACATTATGGTTTTGATTTGCATCTTCCTGATGGCCAATGATGCAGATAATCTCTTGATATGCTTATTTGTACACTTTTACAGAAATGTGTATTTAGATCTTTTGCCCATTTTTAAACTGTTTTTTTGTATTTTTATTAATGAGTTGTAATAGTTCCTTATATATTTTGAATATTAAGTTCTTATATGATTTGCAAGTATTTTCTCACATTTCATAGGTTATCTTTTCACTTTCCTGATGGTATTGTTTGAAGGATAAAAGATTTTTGTAATTTGATATGTTCAATTGTTCAATTGTTTTCTGAGGTTGTTTTGTGCTTTTGGCATCCTAAGAAACCACTGGCAAATCCAGGGTCACAGAGGTTTTCACCTATGTTTCTAAGAGTTTTATAGTTTTAGCTCTTACATTTAGATCTTTAACCCATTTTGAATTAATTTTTATGTGGTATGAGGTAGGGGTTAAAATTCATTTCTTTGCATGTGAATATCATTTGTTTAAAAAACTACTCTTTCCTCCCACTGAATGATGATATTGGTACCTGTACTGAAAATCAATTGGCCACAGATGCATGGCTTTATTTCTGAACTCTCAATTTTATTTCATTGCTCTGTTTGTTCTGCTCTTATGCCAGTGCCACACTGTCTTGGTCACTATAATTTTGTATTAAGTTTTGAAATTGAGAAATCTAAATCCTCCAACTTTGTTCTTTTTCAAGCTCATTCTATCCTGAGTCCCTTGAATTTTGATATAAAATTTATAATGACCTTGTCAGTTTCTACAAAGAAGCTAGCCGGGATTCTGATAGATCAATTTTAGTATTGCCATCTTAACAATTTGTCTTCCAACCCACGAACATGACATGTCCTTCCATTTTCTTTCAATATTTTAGTTTTCCTCATATAAGTTTTGTTGTTTTTTGTTGTCTATTACCAAATATTCTTTTTGATGCTGTTATAAATTATTTTAGCTTCATTTTCAAATTGTTCACTGTTAATATACAGATACACAACAAATTTTCTTTATTGATCTTGTATCCTGTAACTTTGCTTAATTTCTTCTGGCAGTTTTATTTTGAAATTTCTTAGGATTGTCTATATATAAGATCATGTGATGCACAAGTAAGCATAGCTTTATTCCTTCATTTTCAGTCTGAATGCCTTTTTTTTTTTTTCTTAATCGCACTGGCTAGAGCTTCTAGTACAATGATAACAGAAGCGGCACAAGCAGGCATCCTTGTGTTGTTCCTGAATTTAGGGAGAAAGCTTTGTCTTTCATACATGTATTAGCTGTGCGTTTTCCTAAGTGCTCTGCATCAGGTTGAAGAAGTTTCCTGCCAGACTGTTTTTTTTTTTACTGTTTTTATCATGAAACGGTACTGGATTAATCAAATAAGTAGCATAGACAGTAGATGGAAAATAGATAGGGGGAGGGTAAGAATAGTAGGGGAAATATAGAATCTAAAGAACTTGAGACACGTGTTCATGAACTAAAGGGGGGGATGGTAGGGGATGGGGTGTGCAGGGTGGAGGGGAATGAAGGGGGGAATAGAACTGTAATGGCATAATCAATAAAATAAAATATATATATTTTTAAAAAGATGATATAAGGGGTTTTCCCCTTTATTTTATCAATATGGTGTCCCAGCTTTTTTTTTTTTTTTTTTTTAGTTAAAATTTTAAAAGGATGCTCAAGGTAAACCCAGCATAGAAAGTTCTCTGGTTGGAGTAGGAAGGGAAGCCTGGGGCTGCCAAATTGGCCCACCAACAATTTCCTCCCAAGTAGTGCTGGGCCCCACAGGATACTAAGTTTGGGCCCAAGAACAGCAAACAGACCCCATTGTTCTCTCACCCAAAACTCTTTGTTGTGCTGGCTGTCAGCCAACTAAGCCCCAACCCTTGGCTTTAAGAAGCCCTAGTTGGCAGGGCTGGCTGATTACAAGTAAGCAGCCACTTTAGCATTCTGGAAATTGAATGTTTATCCTGGCATAGAGCTTCGCAGCCAATTCCTCCCTATACCTGTCTGAAGGGTTGATCTAGGGACTTTGAAGTACCTAACACTTATCCTTTTTTATGTTATCTTTCCATTTAATGTTAGTTTGGACCTGTGGTTACAGCAAAACTTATACTTGTAAAACCTTGATTACAATAACCCAACATACAGAGGTTCAGTATCTCAAACAGATTGCAGGCAGCCCACTGATGACTTTTGGGGATGACTGATTAAGAAACTTTATTACAGAAAATGAATGCATCCAACATCCCCAAATACATTTGTAATGAGAATAGACACACAGGAGACACAGACAATAGTTGCTACATTACAGCCTTGTTCTTTCCAAAGGATAAAACACCATTCAAGAACAGGGTGAGGGGGTTGGAAAGGAGGTGATTAGAGAAAGCAGGTACTGTCCTTTAGATTTAAAAAAAAATAGCAGGTAGACATTGCAAGAGTACCTACTGCGGGCCCAGAAATCAAGGTAAGCCTAAGCCTTACAGTAGTGACAGCATGCCCCTTATCACACTTCAGGGAAGCTAGAGAACATTATTCCATCAGGAGAAGCAATCTTGGGATGAGTAGTGGTCTTGTTGCAAGCAACTAATGAGCCAAATGGACTTGACTCTCTTTAGAGCTAAATGTCTGCTTAATCAAAGATCACTGACAGCTTCCCCGCTTCCATGTAGCAGCAAAATCACCCTCTTCCATAGTTGGTATGTTTAGTTACAAACAGATAGAGGGACACCACTTAGTAGAAACCTTCTTTGTGACAAGTTGAGCTTCTCTTCCATACGTGACAAGGTTGCCCACAGCTTCCCAATCTTAGCATTGCACGTTGTGTTGGGCAGCAGCAGCTTCAGACTGCAATGCCAGGGGATAGCTGGAGGAAAGCAACAAGGGCATGGCTGAAGCAGGAGGGGCAATCCTGGAACAAGTGCAAGTGCCTCTGGGCAAACCTCAGGACCAAGGGATTTTTAGTGGTAATGTTGTAGAACCAGAAAAACACATTTAGGACACAGTTCTGATGTGAGAAGGAAAGGCTATGAATACAGATTACAGATCAGAGATCAGGCCAGTGACCACAACTATGACTTGTACCCACCCAGGATCTTACAAGGTGAGGACACCATCTGCAAACATGCAAGTTTCCAAATAGTCAATTTTAACAGAAAACTGCCTTCTCCTGAGTAAGGTCATTAAAACACTCCCAAGTGCTTCCCAACCTCGAACATCTGTATCTGTGTGTCAATACTAGGCAATGCCAACATTCACCCATAACATAGTACCCTTCATTACTGCCAACAGTTGAGATGTATGTACACATCAGCCCTCAAAATACTTAGTATAACCATTTGGCCACTGGGCTATCACCTCTCACCCCAACTTGAACAAAATGTTACACCATCTACCAACATGAAATAATCACTGGAACACAAACCAAGCTTCAAGTTTAAGAACATTTAACAATCCATGTTCCTAATGAAGGAGCTCACATCTTGTGTAAGCCATTCTACTGTCCATCTGATGCATTTAAGTGCTTAGAAACAATTAATTCCATCAGTCTGCCTCACAGGTGCCCCAACACACCTGCAACAAGAGCCCCCCCAAACAATCTTTCTTGGATTGTTTGGTTTCTTTAAATGTGTGTGCATGTGTGTGTGATACTGCTCCCTACCCTACCTGCACTCAAGACATCAATTGTTGAGTGGACCAAATGTTCTGGGTTGGAGGGAGAAAGTTAATGAAGCCTGAATATTTGACACATCCTACCCTCAGGATGTTTTTGCTGTTTAGCAATGATGAATTTGGCCCATGTCAGTGGTGAGGCAGGAGGCAAGTAAATTTAAACTTGTAGTAGCCTCAATCCTAACCACCCATCTTTCTGAACCTCTAAAGGCTACTTAACCTTGCCTGTGTCATTATCTTAGCTCCTATATTCAGTGGTTTAGACTTCATCTTAATGCCGTTCAGACACAAACAAAATCATGCAGTAGCTTCAAGTACCCCTCTTCCATTTCATTTTAAGCTAGCCACAGTTACCAGATTTACAGTGAGGCTAGTCACCAAATACAGTGGAGTGGGTTGTTCTACCACTAACACTGCTATGAGTCAGAAATTTAGACTATTATAATAGAGAACAGCTTTAAAAATGTAATACTGTTTATTTAACTTCAAAAACATCTCAGCATTCTAAACATACAAAAAATAACAAAATGTTTCAAATTGTGTTTAGTACAGAAGGTTCTTCAACTTTCATGGATGCAGCGACTCTTTGCTGATGAAGAGTTCTACAGTTTGTTTAAAAACAAATTTTAAAACTACTGCACTTAACTAAAAAAGATCCAAACACTTCTCATGCCAGCTGACCCCCCCTTTTTCCACAGCTAAGAATGGCAGAATGCTATGTCACTATATACAAAAACAAAACAACCTGAAGCTAAATGGATGCCCACTGCAGTGTCCACAGGTCCAGCCTCACAGTGCACGCCCTGAGCTACGGCCCCTCCAAAAGGCATCTTCCCCACAGCCTCAACGCCAAGCAAAGAGCATCAAGAGCTTGTCTTGGTTGTTATGTTCTTTTTACAAACTATAGATATGTACAGTTGATAACTCAGGATTTCTAGCCAATAACCATATAGTTAACACCACCTTACAGATTGAAAAAAAGAAAATGCCAGGAACATCTTTAAATGCCTCGTCATACCAACAGCAAAGTGCACAGAGTGAGGAGAACATGAGCCTTTTCATTTTAAAAATGTTTGGAAATATGTACAACTTTGATACAGTTTCAGGGTGCTCCAGACACCCGTTACCACTTCATGTAAACCACTGACAATTTCTAGAGCACTTTGAAAGACTACATATGATCATGATCCAATTGTGTAATTAATCCTAATGAGGGCAACAGACACCTCTCAAGTAAGAGCTGTGTCAATTACGGCGCTCCCCTACTCTAAGGTATTCACAAGGAGACAGATAAACAGTTTTTTTTATTCATCCTCCTCCTCCTCCTCCTCTTCCTCCTCCTCCTCCTCTTCTTCTTCCTCCTCTTCCTCCTCATCTTCTTCGTCTTCCTCTTCCACCTTTTTCCGAGCAACTTTAGCGGGACCCTTTGCACCATCAAATTTTCCTTTAGACTTATAGTCAGCGACATCCTGGAAGGAACAGGGACACATTCCAAATGAGGAGACAAGCTCTCCTGCCATTATTTGAGCACAGGGTAGAAACATGCTGTCCCTGTCTCAGAATAAGAGAGCAGTAATTCAAAATAGTACAGGGCTGCTATCTGAAGTATTTGTTTCCTGATACAAATTTGGTTCTCAGCCATTCGAATCTAAAAGGTAATGGTTGATCGAGTAGCCTTTAACTCATGCTAATAGCACTATCTAATCCCATGCCAGTAACATCCCATGTTATCCTATTTTTTAAACACTGCCTGAAGTTGTCCCAAATACAAAGATCTGTCAGAAGCCTGAACACCAGCACAAGTGGCTGATCTTGAGTGGAGATGGGCCCTCACATGATTTGCTAGTTACTCAGCCGAGCAAAGCAGCCTTCTACCCACAACTCCTCATACCCAGGGCATCTGACTGCTCGCCATCCAGACCACACACTCTGGCCCATCTCACCTTCTCATACTTCTCCTTCAGCTTTGCCGCCTTATTGTTGTAAGGCTGCTTTTCACTGTCACTTAAGTTATTCCACATCTCTCCCAGCTTCTTTGCCACATCTCCAATAGAGATGCCAGGGTTTGTGGATTTGATCTTGGGGCGGAATTCTGAACAAAATAGGAAGAATCCAGACCTTGGGGGAGAAAATATATAAATTAGATGAGAACACTCAAAAACATGAGATTAAGTCAAAATCCCATGTTCCTGGGCCCACATATTTCCTACCACTATGACTCCCGCCTACAGTGAAGAAATGCATGATACCATATACAGTTTCAAAGCTGTAGGTTCTAGAATATTTAAGGTGCTTTAGGAATTTATAGTGGTTTCTCAGTCTATCAGTTATTGGGCAAAGGGTAAAGAATGTACCTAAGAACACTGACACCTCAAACTAGACTGCTTGCTTCCCAGTGGAAAGGAAAACAGGCAACTACCAAGTACACACAGCTCACAAGCACCTCAAGCTCAAAATACAGAATATTTTGCAGAGGTACCCTGACATTTTTTAGGTAAAGTATCTTTTGAAAATCTTTCAAGAGGAAGGAAAGCTCTTCATGGTTGTCCTGAATCCTCTGATCACTTACGGTGGCCTTTTGGGGGCATTGGGGTCCTTCTTCTTCTTGCCTCCTTTGGCTGGCCCATAGTCCTTCATTTCCCGATCATAGCGTACTTTATCTGCCTTTGCCATCTCATCAAATTTAGATTTCTCTTTCCCCGACATTGTCTGCAAAGAACAGGATCTGTTAAATTCCTCAATGCTGTGAACACATACCTGTTCGGGTTGTCCTATAATTAAAGTGGCAGCTGCTTTAACCACTTGTAAGAGGGGATGAAAGCTTTAAACCCTTGTAGAATCTTAAAAAATAAAAGCGCACATACAAAATTCTAAAAACATGCAAGATGTGTCTAAGAGAAGAGGAAGAAAACAGCCACCTGGGGCTACTCTAAACGTAAATAACACCAAAGTGTGAGATCCAACTAATAGTAGCTTGAAGAATACAAACAAAAATACCTTCCACCTCTCAGAGCACTTCTTGGAAAATTCTGCAAAATTGACAGGAACCTCTGGGTTTTTCTTCTTATGTTCCTCTCTGCATGTCTGCACAAAGAAGGCATAAGCAGACATCTTGCCCTTTGGCTTCTTGGGATCACCTTTAGCCATCCTGACTGATGGATGGAAGGAAAAGAAACAAAGAAAAACAATCCAATGAATACAACAGAACTACATGACATACCAAAGGCACAGTAAAATTAAAATTTAGGTTGATCTTAGGAAACACCCCCCTATGCCTGACGTCACAGACAACCAAAGACAGACTGGGGAGGAAATGAGCTTCACTGTCACTTGTCATTTAACTTTTGACCAGCATGAAGCATGCAGGTTTGTGAGTTACTTCTCCAAGAGTGATCAAGTTCTCCAAATGGAAGCAACCCAAGTGGCTTAACTACATTCTGATTCAGAAATACGTTTTTGGAAACTACAGCCACAAAGTAGGGAGGACACATTTGTAGGCAGTGCTGGCTGATAGAAGCTTGAAATCAGTGACTTAAAACTAGCTGGTCATCTGTTTTACTCCCATGTTAGAAACAAAAATACTGTCACTGCTGCTAAAACACAGATCAAAGCAGAACTGTAAACAGAGAAAATTTGGTATTTCACTATTGTTGATTCATTTGGACTTATAAAAATGGCTTTTACAAGAATGGTGATATAGCAAGTGAGCAGATATCCCTGTACTAATTCATATCTGTCTCTTCATCCTTATCTAAAGTGGCAGGGGATACCAAAAGGGATAGTCCTGCTCATCTGGTAAAGCAGAATTCATGTCCAGCCAGAAATACTTTCTCCAAAGTTTCCAAATAAAAATGCAGCTGTGGCGTGTCATCGTCCCTGTCCCCCCCACCCCAGCTTCCCGCCATCTTTTCCTTTTCCCACACCCAAGGTCATCATGTAAAACTAAAGCACTGCCCTTTGCAGGGACCATCCCAGGGACTGCATTAGGGCCCCACAGTGTCTGCACGGGTGGGGCAGGGCAGAACGCAGGGGAGCCCCAGGCCGGCAGCCGGCAGCTGGGCACGGTCAGGTGCTGGGTCACCCGGACACCCATAATTCACCTTCCATTTTGTCAAAAGCTTCGTGATGAAAGAAAGTGCCCCTGAAATACACTGTTGCCTTCCCAGGGGTACGGGTGGGGCCGGGGGCAGCGGTAGCAGCAGTGCTCTGGAGGCGCGGAGCCCAGCCAGCAGCGGCCGCAGTGATGGTGGCGCCCGCCGTGCCTCCAAGCCCCACTTGCTAAAATGGCTGATTCAAGAGCAGTGGGCACAGGCGGCGGTGGCGAACAAAGCCGTCCAGCCCCACCACTGCCCCCGCCGCCTGCTCCTCTGCCCCCATCCTACCCCGCCCCGCCCTTGCCCGGGTGCCCGGGGGCGCCAGGCTGGACACCCCCCCCCCCCCAACGCCCGCGGGGCGCGGGTCGCATTCCTAGGGATAACAAAGGCGCCGTGCAGCCATGACGCTCCACAGCGGTGCGGCCCGCGGCAGCGCCCCTGGCCCTCCACACCACCAGCCCCTGGCCACAGGCGCTTCGACCAAAGCCAGAGCCCGCCTGGGAACCCCCACCTGTCCACCCCTCGCCAGCGCCCATTACGCGCCAGCCATGTTAGTGGAGGCGGCGGTGCCCCGCGGGCAGGGGACGAGAGAGGGGGGCGGCCGGCCCGCCCACGCCCCCCCCCCGACCTCCGTCCGCTCCTGAGACGGCCATGTTAATGCAAAAGAAACATTGCAGCTTGCGGACCCGCACGGCGACCGGCAGAGGCGAGCAGCGAAGTTTGTCTGCGCCGCAGCCCCCCGCGGACACCGGCTGCCCGTCCCCTGAGGCGGCCGTCCTGGGCCGGAGAGCACCCTGCCCCCTTCTCAAAGCCGTCGCCGGAAGCCAGGACTGGTGCGGCCAGAGCCCGCAGCCGCCCCTCAGCTCGCGCTGCCACCGCCGCTGCCCCAACATCTGACCTCAGTGGGGTCTGAGCCCCGCGGCGCGGCCCCAGGGGGCCGTGGCCAAGAGAGGCTTCGCGAAAGGAGCCTAGCCTAGACTGCGGGGAGGTCGGAATGAAGCACTGGAAAGTTGAAACACCTGAATTGCTTCTTCTTTCCCAGTCGCCTAGGTAGAAGGAAGGCGGAGGGGGCGGGAAGGGCGAGAAGAGGAGAGGCAGGAGGCGGCGGCAACGTGACGCGCTGGCCGCGGCGCGGACTGGAAAGTTGTGCAGACGCTGCGGCGGCGGTGGCGGGCGCGGGCGCCGGCGGCGGAAACGTACCTGTATTGTTCGCTAGTCTGGGCAGCGCAGGGCACGACGCGAGGCTCAGAGCTCGCCAGCCTCGCGCTAGCTGCCTCCACGAGAGCCGCCTGATTGGCCAGCGGGCTCCGCCGTTTAAAACAGCCTCCTTGCCCGGCCATTGGCTGCGGGCCTCATGCATATTAAACAGGCACGGGCGCCCATTGGGCGCAGCCGCTGGGATCATTCATTCAAAAGAACAACCCGCAGGCGCTAGCTCCGGAGGCAAAAGGCAGGAATAATCTTATTTTTCCAACCTCCACGCCCCCTCCACGAACTGAGCTGGGATTCAAAGGACTTTGGAGAAGTGGCCGCGCCATTCCCCGCGGCCTTGACCTCTGGCGTGGGGACGCGAGGTTGAGCCCAGCAGCTCTGCCCTTTGCTCCCTCCGTCCCTCGGCCCGCGCGCCCCGGCCCCTGGCCCTAGGCCCCCAGGCAGTCTCCCAGCCTTGGAAAACCTCCGGGAGCAACGGGCGAGGGTCAAAAGTCCTCCACCTCTGCCCAATTCTGCCGCGGCTGCGTGGCAGGGGTCTCACCACAGCTCGTTCTGCGAGACCTTGGGGTTTCACCGCTGCCCAGCCCAAAAGAAACCTGACTCCGCTCCTAAGGATCCTGCTTGACTGGGCTCTGTGCACTAATTGCCAGAAAGTTGTGCCTGCAATTGCGGAATCATTGAGGTAGGTGGGCTAGAGGAGGAAAGCAGAGCTTGGCAAAAGCACAGAAATCGTGAGAAATTGTAGTTCTGTGTTGTGGGAGTCACCTCTTCACTGCCACAGTTCAGGCCTGCAGTCCCTCTGCTGTCCTGACACACACCCTGGCAAAGAATAGAAGTTCTTGGCAAGAATGAATGGGATTTGACCTGATTTAGCCCCATCAGCTTTGCCACTGGCTAGTGGAATGGGCTTGAGCAAATCACTTCTTTTAGGGGACTCATGCAATGGTTTTCAAAGTGAGGGTGGGTAGGGAGTGTCACCTCTAAGGGATGTTTGAAAATGCCCCATGACTGAGAGTTGTTGCTGGAGTTTAGTAAGAGGAGAGGATAGGGAGGCATATCAGTGTCCTGCATTGGGCAAGGCAGCCACACGGAAGAAATGTCCCACTACAAATACTAGTATCAGCCCTGTTGAAAAATATGGAGGACCTTTCCTTCTTTGAGCTTCCTAGAAAGAATGAAAGAAGGAAGGGTGAGGAAAAGTTGCACATTTTATGGGTTGAAATTTGGAGAAAATAATGAAAGAGGTGCATCATGAATTCGAAGTTCCCTTTCCAAAGCACTTTGAACCCAGCAAGATAGCCAGCTATTTATAATTCTCATATTTAGAAGTGAGACCAAAAGATGAGTTTTCCAAATGCTGTTTCCAGACACTGGCTACGTTTGAGGTGCTTAGGGGAACTGACATCACAAGGCAACTTCCTCCCTATCCCCACCCAGTTCTTGCCAACTCCTCTGAGCCTCCTACACAAGCCTGAGCCCCTGCAGCTGGCACTGCTAGGCTTCCATCATCGGGGATCCAACTGAGACCAAAAAGCAAAGGCACTGCTGCTTTAACCAGAGCCTGCAGGTATCAAGTCACCTTCCTTTAAGTCCCCAATTTCCAGACTTTTGGGAATAAGATCATCTTAAGGCCACCTCTCTAAACCTCTGCCCTGTTGGAGCTAACCGAGTGGTTGCCTACCCCCTGCTCACATACCTTCACTTACCACCTCTGTTCTGGGCTTTTTCTATCTTTGGTGGGCAATCTCTGAGCCTTTGGATCACCATCCTACCCACAATCCAATACCTCACCCTTCAGAGATTTTGTGGTAGAGCAGGTCTTTCCTTTAGGCAGATAGCTCCAGTTTCTTCTATGACCAGGTTCCCGGGGTCTAACCTGCCCAGACCACTCTTTTCTCCCCTGTCTACACCCTTCCCAAAGGGGAGCAGGGTCTCCACATATGATCTGACCAGTACTTCCACTCTTCTAAAGTACCCTAGCCTCCATGTTGTTAGGCTTTCCTAGTCCAGGGATGCAAGTTGGGGTCTCAGGCAGGACAGGGATCTCTTTCTGATCCAGTCACTGCCCAGAATCCTGGCCACACTCGGAAACTGCACTTAGTAGTTGGCAGGCACCAAGGTGAAAGAACCAGAGTAGTCAGCTACAAAGCCCACCAGGCACTATTGGGCCCCTGAGTGGATAGCGAGGGTCACACAAGCAGCATATGTGTTCACATTCATACCCAGGCAGGCACACACAGAGCAATCCCAGAGACAGTGGCATGAAGGCAAATCCAGAGAATAAGAGTATCTCCCAGCCAGAAGAGAAGGGCAGTGTCCTGATACACCACCCCAGACCCATTCTTTCCCACCTGCTGCCACAGCCCTTCCCATGGGTCTCCTATTTCTGTGTACCTACTTCGAAGGACGAAAGGTTTGCGCTTATTCGGAGAAACTACTTCCATCTCTGCTTCTGAAACAGCTCCTCTTTCTATCAAGCTGAAGCACTAGGCATGAAGCTTAAACCTCTGGTTGCCGTCATCAGAACTTCACAGAACATGATTATGACATCACTGAGTGAGCATCTTCAGAGATCTGAAGAATGGCTGCCCTGTTTCCCTGCTCCTGGCCCCATAAACACACATATCACCCCAAGTCTCCATGTCTTCTTTGGACCCAGTAGCCCTGATTCCTCCATCCCTTCCCCTTGAACTTCAGTTTGGAGTCTCCTCACAGCATGATTTTCTCCTCAGTGCTGCCCATGTGCAGCAGTATGCCTAAGTACAAGCTGTGGCTTTGTGGGTTCCTACCTCAGCAGAAACTCATAATTCAATTCCATGTACATGTATTGAATGCCTACTAATAAATAACAGGGGGTCAATGAAGTGTCATGGGGGTGGGGCTAGAAGGCAGGAGCAAGGCAGCAGCTTTGGGCTCTGACTTCTTGGTGTGCCTTCTGCAACATCACCTCGTCTCCCAGCTTCAGTGTACTCTGTCAAAGGTGATTCAAGCCCTGGCCAGGTGGGTCAGTTGGTTGGAGCGTCATCCTGTACACCAAAAGGTTGTGGATTTGATTCCCAATCAGAGATTGTGCAAGATACAACAGATAAGTCTCTCTCTCTCTCTCTCTCTCTCTCTCTCTCTCTCTCTCCCCCTCCCTCCCTCCCCCCCTTGTCTCTCTGTAAAATCAATAAACATCTCTTGAGGTGAAGATTTCTTTAAAATGGTAATTCAACCCACCTTACCCACCCCAGATATTGTCTCCTCTCCTTGTGAGAGAGGGGAGGGTGTGAGTGAAGCTGGTCTGCATGTCACTAGCAAAAGGCCACCTAGAGAATGGCTAAAGAAAAGTCTAGAAGGTGAAAAAAGTGACAGGAAGTCAGGGGTGCCTGGGAAAGTTCTAAACTCAAGGGCCCCAAGGCAGACTGCCTCCTCTGTAACAAAGCTTAGTGCCCAGTGGTGGCTTGAGTATAGACAGGCCCAGCTGGTTGAGGCAATGAGGGTACTCTGGACTTCTGCCTTGGTCCTCCCTAGAAAGTACCTTAATCACACCAGCGACCTGTGAGGCCAAGCCCCAGACAAACCCCATCACACAGGGGTACCTCAAAACAGAACCCTGTAAGCTTCTTGGCTACCTGGAGATGTTAGGAAAACATTGAAAGTAATTGGAAATAGGACAAAGAGTGACAAATGTTATTTAAAGAGTTTTTCGTTCTTGCCAGTTCAGGCCCTTCAAAAGATTAAAAGGAATCTTCATTCAACAGAAACGAAGTCCTAGCCCCCTATACCCACCCCCCCATACACACACATCTACACTCACACCTGCACCTACCCCTGCCGCAGGTCTTCTCCTGGGTGCCCAGGACTTAAAGGTGACATCCCTAAGGACCAACTCAGCCAGCCTCCTTACAGATCAGTGAATATGCAGCCAGGTGAACATGGGGGTGAGTGTAGGGCCAGATTGTTGAATCATTTAAAATATGTTAAGGGTACTTGCTGTGAAGGTCTTACAATGAAGCATGCCATTTCAGAGGGGGATGTAGGAGCCTTTGTAAATTCATGTCTTCACAGATAAAGAATCTAGCTTCTAGGACTTCCTAGGTTCCTTGCCCCACCCTCTTCACCCCAGGTGACCTATTCAAGGCCTGAAGCCTCACATCTCCCCTCTCCCTTTGCTCTTGGGTGGGAATTACATTCCAACTTTACTTTTTTGCCATGGGGAGGAAAGTGTTTTTGAAGGTAGGTAGGGTCTTGGGTGCAATTACAATAGGTTTGTAGAGTTGCACAGCTGGGAAGAAAGATCAGGTCACACGGGAGTCTCCGGCTGAGTCAGGGCTAGAAGTGTGGTCTCTTGACCCTTAGTGTCACACTTGTCCTACCCTTTATAGTTCAGCTCCACCTTTGGTGCAAAAGCCATTGGCAAGCTGGCAGGTACAGCCAGTGCCATTGAGAAAGTGGGGTTCCAGGTTCAGAATAGCCACACTCAAAAAAAGGCCCACAGGAAACCAGCCTCTGTTCAGCTTTTCCTGCCTGCATGACCACAGGTGAGTCCAAGGGGCCTTGCATAGCAGCCCAGAACCCAAAGGGCTACTTGAGCCATGGGACCCTCAGCCATGTGCCTGTCATGGCTGGGGCAGCCAGGGTCTTGCCTTTCCAGCAGAATGCTGAGGCTAGCCTATGTCTCCTCCACCCAGGTGCACTGAGTGAAGAGTGGGCTACTCCTGGCCTCCCTCCCATCCTGGAGACTCTAGCCCTGTAGGGGAATGGCAAGACCCACCCACCTGAAACAGAAGTCAACACCCAGGCCTCTGAGGCAGCACCAATGCCACCAGGCCCACGAGCTGGCTGAGGCTTTCATAATGACTGAGAGCCAGATGTGGATGAGCAGCCAAAGGGCTTCCTAGGAGTTATTCCCCACTCTGCTGCCTGTGGGAACACGGTCCTGGCCAATACCAGCCCATCCAAGGTCTACTGGGTGGGCCAATACCAGGACCCACCAGGTG